GCAAACGGAGAGTCTGACCTTTCAATAAAATATAGGAGAATGAGATTTCTTGAGATTTCTCAAGGAAAAATGAAACTTTTTCTTGAGGCATTTAGAGTGCCCAGTCATGTGTATCAGTACGTTCAGCAAAGAGGTAACAAGTCAATGTCTGCTATTTATGGGAAGACACCACAGCATACACACAAAACCATTTATATTTGCTGCTTCTGGGAAGAAGATTAATCTTAAAAGCTTTTTTTTTTTTTTCCTGGGGAATGGAGACAGTGGGCCTATTGAAAGGATTGTCTAGCACCCTTAGGACTGCAGTTAGAGATTGCTGTGCATAGCTGACATTGCTTAAGGGTCAGATAGGCTGAATAAATAAGTAAACTTTCCCCAGGCACAAAGTGCTTCTTGCTGTGGTAGTGATACAAAGAATATGCAGCTTTTTATACATCAGGAGGGCCAGCCCCTGGAAATCTTTTGAATGCAGAGGAGATCAATAGCCCAGAAAAGGAGTTGGAGGTGGGGATGGCAGAGACCTCTGCTGACTTGGTGCTGGGCAGGTCGTTCAGTGAAGATTCCAGAGCTCCTGTGGTGAATGAGGGAAATGCCATAGAAGAGAGATCCCAGGACTGTGCTGTTCCCTGAATCATGTAAAGTGTTGGATGGAGCTCAGACCACCTGTCGACATCACACGCACAATGTGCTTTAGAGGAGCAGCAGAAGTCTAACTTCAGGGACAAAAAGCAGTCACCTCCCAGCTGGAAGAGTCCTGCATGGGGAAGTCCAAACACTCAGTTTCACCTGAGCTGCACCTGAATGTTTCCAAACAGAACTCTGTCTGCAAGCTCCATTTGCTTATGGTTTTAAAAACAGGTAGACATACAAGTATATAGAAAATAGTCTAAGCTAGACTTGTGTCACTGAGGCAAAGCCTGAACATGCCACAGAACAGTGGTCTGTCTTTCCTCCAGCTGAGAAACTTCTGTTACTGTGCTGCTACTAATTAAACTATTGTATTATTTTTTCAAAGTCTAAGTCAACTTCTTTGTTGCTAATAATTGTTTTGTATTTCCTTATATTTTCCAACCATAATCTCTACTCATCATTTCATTCTTTATTAATTTTCTGAACACCCTCTATAAGGATGCTGGAAATAACGAGATCTGAAACAAGACTTTCTTCCTCTGTTTAGGCTATAGGTTCTTTACTATTTCAGTGTCTTCAGATTAAAAGATTCCAAATCTTAAAAAAACCCTCAGGCTGCTGAGCTCTGTAGCAACGTAGACCAACTAGTTCCTGTATCCCATTACCAAAGTTTATCTTCTGGCAAAACAGAACCTTTGCTATGGACAGTAAGTTTCCCAGTTTGATTCAAGATGGGATATGGTTAAATGTGACAAATTTACTTTCACATCTCCAGGAAAGAGAAATCTCTTGTGAAAGGCCTAACTTACTGTTTAATTCAAGCTAAATCAAGTCATGGTTCTTCAACATACAAATTTCCTACAGAAGTCTCTGCTTTTACTCATCATAATCAAATCTAAAATAGCAATCAATAGCCCTGGCTCAGCAGTACTTCAGTGAAAAAAGCCACAGTGGAAATTTAATCCAGAACTGTCTGGATTAGCTATTATTAACAAAATTTGTTCCCTAACCTTTTTGGAAAATTCAAGTCTTCCATAGCAATGGCACTTCCTAGTACTGTTAAAGGTATTCTCATCCATATCTGAAAACAGTTTAGCTAAAAAGTTTCAAAAAAGAGTTTACGACCTTTGGAGGAAAGACTGGGCAAATTAAGGAGAGTGCAGGAACCTAGTTAGGTTATGCAGAAAGGCAAAAGTCCAGCTAGAGCTCAATCTGGCTACTGTCACACAAGAGAAAAAAGGTTTTTACAAATATGTTAACAACACAAAGAGAGCCAAAGATACTCTCCATCCTTTATTGGATGTTGTCAGATGCAGGAAGATGAATCACTTTCTGCCCACCACCCCATCCCCACGCTTTACATATCAGTAACAAAAAAAAGGTGTAAATGTCACCCCTTTTGGAGCCAGTGTGTGGGACATTGGGCACCGGCTCCTAGGGGCAGACGGACGGGTCTGTTCTCCTCACCCCCCAGCAGGGACACCCCTGGGGAAGATTTGCTGCCTCGGCTCTGCCAGGTGATTTTCCTCAGGAGATTAATATTATTATTATTATTATTATTATTATGGCAATTGCAATTGTTTTCTAGACCTCTGTAGCCAGTCTGCAGTTTAGTGTATTTATCACCGACAATCACAAAGAATCTGTGTGTTGGGTGTAACTACTAGCCCATGCTAGCCATCTATGATCTCCTTCTATGATCAGGTGAACAGTGAGCAGGCAAAGGACACAAAGGGCAGAGAGGAACCTCATAAAATTCAACAAGGGGAAACACAAAAGTCCTGCATGTGGAGAATACTAACACCGTGCACCAGTACATGCCAGGAGCCCACTCTGCAGAGGAGGACATCCCTGGTGGACTAGTTGTCCACAAGCCAGTAATGGATCCTCACATTGAAGGTGGCCATCTGTGTTCTGGGCCACATACAATACAGCTTTGCCAGCAGGTTGAGGGAGATGATCCTTCATCTCTTGTCAGTGCTGGTGAAACACATCTGGAGTGTCACATCCAGGCTCCCAAGTGAAAGTGAGACAGGGGCTTACTGGAGCAATTCTAGCACAGACGGACAAGGGTCATGAAGGGACTGGAGCATTTCTCATAGGCAGAGACGCTGGGAGAGCTGGGACTGCTCAGCCTGGCGAAGAGGCTTGGGGCGATTTCATCAATGAGCACAAATACCTGATGGGGGGGAGTTCCAAAGAGGAAACCAGATTCTTCTCAAGTAGTGTCTACTGAAGGACAAGACTGGGCATGCAGTTACCCTGACAACCAGTTTACCAAGCCATGCTAGTGGCAGTATAGCAAAACCAAGGCTATTGGTAGTTTACTTCACTAAGGTGAACTGAATATAAGCTCAAATTCATGTTATTCTCCTGCAGCTCTGAAAGCACTTCAAAGACAGCAAAGACCAGCCTCTGCGTTTCACCCTTCTGGAATAGCTCGGCAGGGCTTTGGAACCCCGATTCCTCTCTTTTCATCTTGACTGTATCAGTTGTGGGCTTAAGAGCAGCTCTGGAGGAAGCATTTTATATCAAGGATATAGAACTCAGAGGTGTTTGGGGAAGGGGGTGGAAAGGGTGTGAAGAGCAGCTTAAACACGCTCAGTAGCAAAATCTTTTACAGTGGTTCGAATGCAAACTCTGAGACAAGTCATATGGACAACAAAGCACAGAATGAAGGAGGTGTCCACATAGTTGTCTCTCTTAGGCTCCACTCCTCCCCTCCAAAAAACTTGCCCATTACGGTCCCCATTATGTTTAAATGCTATTGCAGAGGGGCTTCTACCCTTGCTGGTTGACGCAGCCTTGGCCAGAAGCAGGTCCAATTTGGAGCTGAGGGAGCTTCTGGGAGCTTCTAGAAGCTTCTCACAGAAGCCACCCCTGCAGCCTTCCCCCACCAAAACCCTGGCAGACACAAACCCAACAGGGAGGCAGTGGCAACGTGAGGGGTAGGTTGTAGATGCTCATTCCGAGAGAAGAGCAGGCATCACATCCTTTGCAACTGAGACACTCCCAGAGGCTTTGCTAGCAAACTGTCTTTGCCAGGCAATGCTGATTTCAAAAGGTTCCAGCCTTTAGGTGGGCCACTGCTCCCTTAATGAGTGACTAGGGGAGAAGCAAAGAATATTTGAAACTGACAAGTGTTTGATGCAGTTCAGGTGCAAGTCCCACAAATGACCTGTGGCAACACAAAGAGCAGACAACAAGTGTACAAAGGGGAAAAGGCATGGCCAGTATTATCACTGATTGAAAAGAAAATTATAGGAAATAGCCAATAGAAACCACAAATCCCTAAGAAAAGGATTGGGGAAGAGCCTAGAGAAGACTCATCGCAGAGGAGGCTGGAGAGGAAACATTGCAGACCACAAATACCTAATTTGAGTGACCAGATCTTCCTCTTTAGCCTCTATCAAGACTTTGCTATCAGTTAGTTTCCTTGTTGGTTCCTAGAAATTTAATTTTGTTTACAGCTGCATGGGGCATGCTGAAATTTATCATTTGAACCAGCAAAAAATTCAGATCAAAACCACTTAGTGTTTCAGACTTAGTAAAGATCAGGAAAAAAATTTCTTCTGGCAAGAACAAGACACTTGCAAACATCAAAAGTAGTTTTGTGTTTTTATTAGTATTTACAGAATATTGTAAATTCTTAGCATTTGTCCAGCTTGCACACATCAGTGCGACAAAATCCCCTAGTTAGATCAGGACTCAACTATAAAAGTGTTACTTTAAAGTTACTGAAAAGCTCACTTTGTCAGGTATTTTTTGCCATCCAAGTAAATACACATATCAAATTTAAAAATGTGTTATATTTTCTTTGTGTATCAAGACACAAGTTATTACAAAAACATCAATATTTTTTAAGTCCAGGGTAAAATTCTTATAGTGAGCATTTTAATGGTACTACCAATTTGTTACTCTCAAATTAAGTATTCTCTAGAGTTATTAAAAAAACCAAAAGATTTAAAATATTCCTCCATGAAGAAGTTCAAGTTAAGACCTGAAAAGAACTGAGATAATGCTACTAGAAAAATCTAATGACTGCTGCCATGATGCTGGGAAAAACACCACTTTTTTTAGTTTCTATAAAATAAAAAAACCTTCTAACACATTACTTGGGTTTCAGTAAGACTCACGCACCAGTAGACAACAACCTCCCTCAACAAACAAATCAAAAGCAGGTCCAGGTACATTGCTGGCAACATGATGTACAAAGTAGGTATTTTTATTTAGTTTAATCCAGCATATATGACAATATTATACAGGAGCCCTCATAGAAAAGAGGGCAGAACTGAGGTTTCTGCCATGGACAAAAACTTCATAAAAACATAATATAATTAAAATACAAAATACATACAGTACATGTCAGATTAGTTAGTAGTAGCACTTGAAGTTTCTGGAGACTGAAGAAATTCATAGGGATCATGAACCATGTCTTGCTGTTCTCCAACACTCAGATGAGAAGGGCTTCCTACAGAATATGGAAAAAGAAATCAAAACCTTTAAAAGTACAGAAAAATAATAGATATTTATATGTATAAAGAGTACAGCTATTTCACATGCTCCTTTCATTCTTTTAAAGCAAGGCAGACATTTAAATTATATTTAACAGGAAATTTTGGAAAAGAGATTATAAAATTCTTCAGTAATTTAGATCCTTTTTGAAAAAACTGTCATTATTTATTACTCCGAGTTGAAAAATCCTTCAAGACGTAATTGAGTATCATTCAACCAACACCCCCTACCCTGAGGAATGGTACCAAGTTGTTAATTAGTACATTACATGCTCATTCTGTCTTGTCACTGATTCTTACATTTGACAATGGAAGGCTATTGCAGAATCCCACCTGGTACCTGTTGCACACAACTATGCCAAAGGAACATAAACATTATATACTCCTTAGTATTTCTGGGAGCGTAAGAGGCAAGTGCATAGAGGAATTTGCCAGTCAGTATCAATTTACTTCTCAATTACTTCAATCACACCTAATAAAAAAATAAGTAACTACGATTAGTGTCCTTAATTCCACAGGTCAAAAGTCTGTCTTGTTAGTTGCCTTTGCCACACAGATTCAAAAATTAAAGCATGGTCCTGTAGTTAGCACATGACTTTATCTGAATAGTTTAATGCACAGATCTATGTAAATGAAAATGTAAGTTTAGCCAGTTTCAATGAGAGCAGAAGTACTGCAACATCTGTGACACAGGTGACTTTACCAAGATGATGTTGATCCCTTTCAGAGGTGTTGGAGAGGGAACTCAAATTGGATGATGGCCGGGACCCCACTCTGTCAGCCTGAGCTTCATGAAGGTCCTGCAGCAGCTTAGTTGTTTCATCCAGATGCAAATGGTTAACATCATCATGATCAAGCTCCTTCTTCACTTTCCCTAAGGGCCACCAGTTACCAACCAAAAACCACAATTAGCACATGCAGATTGACTCATGAATTTTCAAGCCGCTATAAAAAAAAATTCTAAAATCAGTTATCACAAGTGCTACCTATTACACAAAGACCTCAACTTTGCATTTTCCTTTGCACTTCTAAAAGGCAACAGCTGCAGGTCTGTTTTTAGCTTCAAGAAATACATGTTGAAATGCATTTGGCAGTACTGGAGGATGAAGAGTGCCATGGGAAATGGCTGAAACTGAACTGACTGCCAGTATTTAAGCAGCTATAAGGGCTCAATTCATCTTCCTAATCTGTTAAAACTCCAGCCATGAAATAATGCATTTAGTTTGCAGCAAAGGAGAGCAAGTCAATAGACAGATTAAATATCTAACTGAAAATACAGTTAAAATAAGACAGGTACTTATGGAGGTAAAGAAATTCCCATCACAGAAAGTTAAGAACAGTACTCTCTCCAGCTACACTGAGTGTATAGTAAGCCATATAAAACTGTGAAATTGGAAAGAACTGCAAGAGTGTGCCAAAACATGCTGCTCTTTCATCTGAAGACTTAAAAAAACCACTTTTCTCTCAAATTTAAATAGGGAAATAGAGTTTTTCCCTTCTCTTTGGGCTGTCTTCAATGCAGACCTTGCTATCTTTGCAAGAACTTTGATAAGAAATAATGCCATAAACTCCCTCTGAAAGGTAACCAATCTAGAATTACAGAAAGATCTAAGAAAAATAAAAGCATCTTTGAGTGGAGCACAAAATTAACAGAAACACTGATATGCTGCAACATTATCTATAGACAAGTATTTATTTGTTACTGAACTGCAATAAAATCAGTGTGATAGCATAAAGAGAGCTTACAATTGCTTTTCAAAGTACTGCATCTATGAGAGAAATTTGTAGAATTTTTTTTTTTACTTAGGCTTTAAATTCCCTTGGTTATGTTTTACAATAGATAATTTCACATCTTTCACATTCTGAACTAAAAGTATCTTAAATCATAAGCAGTATTTTTTTGTGCCTGTGATGACATTTTGGAAGACTTTGTCCAGCTTAGCAGCTGTAGAATGGGAACATTAGTACTTGTAGTATTTAAAGGATACCCATCAAAGACATCTATTTTAAAATATCCCAGTACTTTCATACAACTGCCTTTTTTCAACCTGAGGTCTTTCCAACATCCAGTTTCTTCACTTTGGTTTCTTTAGTGAAAGAGGAAAAGTTAGCTTGGCTAGCACATGGATGTCTCAAAGGAAAAGCAGAGCAAGGTTTCATTTATCTTGTACCAGCCCCAGACGTTCACCTGCTTCAAATGCAGCCTTAGTACTTCTTGAACACTTTTTTATTCTTAGCACATTTTGCCTAAATGATAGAACTAAACCATAACTGATGGCTTGTGTATTTAATGACTTACCTAATGAACTTAACATAGAAATATCTAGAGATACATCTGAATATGGTTTCATAGAGAGAAAGTCCAAGTCAGAAGTGTTGCTGTCTCCAGCAGATTCTCCAACCTATTAAATAGAAGAAACAGAAAGACTAGCAACAGTGACAAGCTGTCATAGTCACTTTTTAATGTTTAAACACATGAATCCATACTCTCAGAAGTGTGCAGCACAACACTTATGACTGGAGCATCCATAACAATCTTGGCTAACCAGGACAGACCCTTCATAAGAAGGGCAACAAACCTGCAGGGTAGTCTAAGTAAGTACCTCTCACCTCACCATCTGGGACTGCTGAAACCAACATTACCAAACCCTCTGAGATTACACACTCAGCTCATGCCTGTCCCATGCCAGAATCCTGGCTGGGGGGAAGCATTATCAGTATAGTGTCCCCCATCACGAACCACTGCCAGATCCCTTTTCCCCCCCCTCACATTCTCAATCCAACACTGGATTTATTGACTTTTTTAGTATGTGACTAATAAAAGCAGTAAGGTGGTGGGCCTCCCCATACACAGGATCAGGTAGAGCTGGTCTATCAAGTATTTTTTCTATATATCTAGATAATGAAATACAGCCTGCACTGCAACAATTTTCTCCATATTTGTTGTCATACTGCTAGTAATGGCAGAAAGTTGGAGATCAAAGTATAAGTTGTTAAGCTGCAAAATACGTTCTAACAGCTCTCTGAGGTTACCTGCTCCAGCAGGAGGAACAAGATACATAAATACATAAACAGGTATCATCTTTTAGAAGTATGAAAATGAAACTTAGCATTTTCATGAATTAACCAGTCACCTTCTAGAGATACAGAAACCTTTCCACAAAACACTGGATTGTTAAGCGGTCCTTCTGCTTCTCAGACTTAGTTGTGCATGTGGAATTAAACTAGAGAATACAGAACAACAGCACAAACAAAGCCACTAAAATAGACTGAGTGTCAGAGAACCTATTTTAAGTATTGAAAGCTTATTCTAGGTACTGTAATTTTAATCTTACACCTTCATCCTTGCACTGAAAAAAAATGAATACTCAATAACCCCCAGCCTCCTTTTTAAGGACAAAACAATCCCGCCCCCCAAAAAAACCACCACAGGAAACATTTTACCATAATCTGTTTGGAAGAATCTGGACAGGTAATACGCAACTTGTGCTCTTCTTTTATGAGAACTGGCAGAACCTAGAGAACCAAATCATATTTTAGATCTTAGCATTTCACAGCTTATACTTATGTTTCCTTAGAAAACTCTTAGTTTGTGTAATTTACTGGTTTACCATAATCAGATCCCAGGCAAACACAGAACATCATATTTTGTGATGTTTGCACAGAGTCTTTACCAAAAAAAAAAAAAAAAAAAGACTAGCTCTTCTCCAGTGGGCAACCATACACATTTTAGAACTAACCAGGACAGCCTCTTAGGACAGCCTCTTTAGGACTAACCTAACAGCCTCCTCTTTATCATATCCTCCACTTACCAAGCTTTTCTGTATTGTTACAGAGAACAGATGCACATTAAATAAAATTTGGAATTTGAATGTTGGCAGCCCAGAGAACATCACCTTCTTTACTTCAAGTGCCAAGACACTCTCTCTAGTGCAGAACACCCAAACAGAATGAGTATCAGCATAACTTACTTTAACTTCATCCAGTGGTTTCACTGGGATGTTTCGCCTCTGGAAAGGAAGAATACTAAAAATTACTTTTATTCAACATAAGAGAAAGACCGCTCTCTTGTACACTTTCAAACTTCACACACAAAATGAGGTCAGAGTCAGCTTTTTCAAATATAATCAATGCAATGTATGCTGCATAATGAATGTTCAAATTAATGCAGTTACAATGTAACAGTCACTGTTTTGAAATACTTTAGTATTACATATTTTACTAGTTTTTGAGCCCCTTACACTATTTTTTCTGCCCACTCATTCAAGTGCAGTATCTTAGTCATTACTTCAGTAACTTCCAATTCCAAATAATTTAAGGTTGCACTTTCAGAGATACTCAAATGTAGCAGCATGAAATATTCACACATAAACCACCATGGCAAATCATCACTGAAACATTTAATTGCACAAAATCTGTACACACCCACCTACATAATAACTGAACAGAATTTCTAAGTGTAAATGGCCAATGACCATATGAAAGACATTCAGAAATTACCATCTAGAATATTCATAGAACAAGGTGGCAAAAAGCAGAAGGTATATTTTATTTTCAAGTTCAATGTGTTATATACACGTTTCTAGATATAAAAGCAGATTTAAAATATTTGGTTTGAACTTTTTGAACTTTCAAGGTTCTTTGAACTAATCCTTTATATTTCTTGCCGTTTCATATACAATTTTTGTTCCAGTACATACTGGAAAAAATACCCAGAAAATTCTGAAAGATTCTCTGCATTTTTCAGTGAATTGTCTGCTTTTCCCCAAACATAACCGACCCAATTCTATTTCTAAATCTGCAGAGATTTGGCATAATCTCTTTCCCCCATGTCAGGAAGTCTGAATAACTCCCACCCTCCCTCCTGCCTCCCCACTCTTATTTTTGAATCATTCACAATGTCAGCATTTTAATCAGCAGGTAATTATTTCAAGCCAGAAGTGATTTTCAGAGTGTAGATAGCACATAACGAGATTCTGCAGCTTCCAGTACTCTATTTTGTCTCAGGAATGCAAACATTCCCACTAAAATTTTACACACTTCTGAAAAAAACCCTCTGGTCTTAGTATGAATCTCCTAGGTAAAGTGCAGTTGGTAATAAGTTTAAAATCTTTCCCTTCGATATACTACATGAATTTGAAAGGTAGTGCTCTTGGGTAACAGATACCCGTACAGCAATATTAATCTGTTCTCCAACATTAATTCATTGTTCCAAATAATTAATCCTGCCACAAGGAATGTATTCTGCATTTAAACTAAGAAAAAAAAATAAAAATTCATACAGCATTAAAAAACAAACAAACAAAAAAAAACAACAGATATAGGATCATTCTGGTTTTGATGAACTTGTGATGTTTCAGTACATCCAGGACACACCTGCTTTAGTTGATAAACAGTTCTGGAATGATCTCCACTAGTGATCTGGTCCAGAAGATCATCGACTATCTTCTTGCTGTAATTCCCAGCGTCCTTCACAAACTCTTGTAAGCTAGTAGGAATGGAGATATAAACATTACAGAAAATCTTCACTTCTGTAAAAAATATTTCAACTTTTAACATGGTTTTCCTCAACTACAATATATTACATCTACATTGTCCTTGTACTTTTATGCTTCTTCAGAAAAGCAACTAAGGGCTTTAAGACAGGGGCTTTTTTTCTTTCTCTCTCTCTCTCTCTTTTTTTTCCACAACTACCAGCAAATCTACACTTGAATTATCATTGGTGCTGGGTTAAAAAACAAACAAGAGAAGAAAAGCTTGTGATCAATTCTTTTCCCTGCAAGACTGATAATTTAATTAAATGTTGCATTTTCCTTTTCTAGCAGCTTTAATTATTTTGAAACTCCTTGAAAAATATCACTGTTTTAAAGTCACTAAAATCTGTTACTTCCACACTAAACCTATTTACTGCTGAGTTTAAAGCAGAATTCTCCATCTTTAGCAACCTATAATATCCCGTGGTCAAAAACCCTAACAAGATCCATAACAGCCTTGCAATAAAAAGGAATAACTTCAAAGCACAAATGCAAAAAACCCCAACAAAACCCAACACCCATCCCCATTCCATCCACCAGAATGAAAGCTAATTCAAATTTTTTAAGGAGTTATCTCTTAAAATAAGTTTTAGAAAAAAGTATCATGATTTGAAAGCTCCTAGTTGACATTTAGTCCAAATTGCTTTCCATAAAATTGCTATGAGAAATGAGAGCTCCTAACAGGAAGCACTTACCTTAAGGCACACTGTATCCCAGTTTCATCACCATATGCTGAGTACAGGAGATCCATTTCATCTGATTTCAAATCATGAAATATAGAGTTGTTTTGCATGGAAGGTGCTGTACTAGCACTTGTAAGAAAGGTTACTAGACAAGCAGAAGAAAGAGATGACAAAGGATGAACATAAGAATAAAAGAAATCACTTTGGGTGGAGGGGGCAGTGAAGGAAGGAGGGGGAAAAAAAAAAAAAAAAAATTGTGTTCTGAAATAGACACAGAAAATGAAATGTGTTTTTTCCCTGTAACCAAAATCAAGAGCAACATCTCAAGGACACTTCCAGACCCTAGAACTGGTGCTCAACCACGTAAATAAACATTATTACTTAAAAATAAAGAATAAACTTAACCACTCAGCTCCCTTACTACCCCAAAAGATTGAATTGCCATGCCCCCTTCTGTATTTCTGCTTTTTGCCCATGTCTACTTCACTGTTCTTTGCCTTTCAGTTTCTGGAGAGCAGGTCACACACTATTATATATAAACACTAGAAAAAAAATCCAGTTTGTGAAATCCCTGTCATATAATACAAAAACGCAAATGACCCGAAGTTTTTTTCTCAATTCTAATAGCAGTTGCCCAGGGAAAATTATTTCTTCTAGAGAAAATGGAATACCATTACTGGAAAGCTTCTAGTGTGGCTACAACACTAAGGCAAAACATTAATCCATAAACTCCTAATTAAGTTACATGTAATAAGGAAAAAAGTAAATTTCATTAAAACTGCTGTAAATAGAATAATTATATGTTATACAAATAACAAAGTGAAGTTTCATTTGGAGACAGGTATAACCTGAAATCAGTGCTCAAACATTTAATACAAAGTTCAGATACCTTCTTTGGCATTTACCTTTATTTCTTCGTTCATCTTTAAAGCCCAGTGTAGTGAAGCCAGGTAACAATTTGCTTGACAGGGAACTCAGGTCCACTGGATAAGTCTCTTCCTCTAATAATTTAATTTAGAGGAGTAATAATTTTTAGAAAAGCATTTAATGTTTATAATTTACTTATGGCAAATATTTAGATTTTGCTATTTTAAAGAGTTCCAGTTGCCACAAAGGATAAATGTCTCTTGATCTGTACATTTTCATTTAGGATAGCTACTGTAATCCAGGTTCTCCAATTAAATTTCAAATACATGGTGTAAATACGTTTCCATCTCCTACTTGCAAAATCTATGGCTTATTCAGTTATTTCTCTTTCAAATTATAAAGCAGCATCTGAAATTGTTCTACAAGCCAATTCATAAACATTCAAGATCCAGATATTACAAAATGATAAAATCAAATTCTGACATTGACTAATTGGTAGTTTGTCTATAGAAACCCACACACCACATAAAGAACCTTGTTAAAACAATTACTGTTATAGCTATAGCACTATTTCTTGCTTCTGAAGTTCTGAGAACTGCTTAATTACTTGAGCCATCTTAATTTGCAGCATGCTTTTAAAATCAACAAAATCCAAAAACATTTAGGACATTTCCTCTCATTTTAAATCTCTCCGTCTGTTATAGAATCTAATGGTAATTATGGTCAATGACTGAAGAACAGAAAGCAAATTTATCCCTAGAATGATACTAGGATTAAAAAACAAAACCAAACCGAACTACAACAAAAATTGAGAGCACTGTCTTAGCTGTAAAAATCAGTGTAACCAGTATTACACTATCCAAACAATCCAAAAAAGATTCTGGAGCAGAGAAACCCTGGGAAGCAGTGCAGAACTTTACAGCACACAGGGAAAGTCTGCTCTGCTCCCCTTATCACTGTCAAAATTTTCAGTGGTGTGTTTTCAGAAGTATTAAAGCATATTATTTTTATTATTTTTTTTTTTTCAGAAATAGGTAAGGACATGATGGCAGCCAAAATGCTCAGTTTAATTGCAGAAAAAAATTGCTACCATATGAAAAGGAATTTAGACATCGTAAGAGTTACAGGTTTATATCTCCCAATTAAAAAGTCAACAGAAAAGGGACTAGTCAAAAGGGTTCCATTCATCGGTGCAACAACAGGCAAAGCTGAGAATGAATTCCAAAAAGTACAGATAAGGACTTGCTAAATCAACGTGACACACAGCAGCATACAGACTATGACATTACATTAACTGCAAACTTTCAAAACTGCATTTTGAGCTCAAAACCCAAACAAGTGGAAAAGCATAAGACAATATAAAAAAAAAGCGGAGGAGTAACACAAAAACCCACAGAAAAGATTAAAGAACTAAAGAAAAACAATTGAGCAAAACCTAATTAATGTAAAACTGAAATTTAGCTCATAGTTTAAATTAAAAAAATAAATTAGAAAAAAAAAAAAGGTAAAAGATGATTCTGTATTTACACCTGTGCATTACACGTTTACCTAGGATTACAACTGCTTCATTCATCTTGTGGTTGTTAGATTTGAACGCTACAGGGTATTCAAAGCAAATGTCTGTCTGCCAAGTTCTCTATAAAGTTGTAGCAGTGTATAAGTGCATATAAATAGATATTATTTTACCTTCTTACTGTTAGGATCAGTGAAACAGTATCTGAACATTGAAAATTTGAAAGGCAAACATCTTACAGTGGAGATACTCAATACAGCTGTTGAGGAATATGGTTTGGGGAACAATTTGAAAAAAAAACCCTTCATCTATACTACAGAGGATCTGTAGGCACAGTTAAGACTTCAAAATCTGCAAAACATTGAATATTACAAATGTTTGCTTCAAAGATTACGGCATTTACCTTCTGCTTCTGGATCAGATGAATTTACTACACTAAATAATAAAGTTCCATCTCCATTTTTTTTCAGATAGCCAATCTGCAAATAGAACCACAAAGATAAAGAAGCCATCGTTAGAATAGTCAAAACTCAAAGGAAGAGTTGGTTACTTAAACAGAAAACTGTAAAAAGCATTTTTAGCTGTAATTCTGATCCTGCACTCTGGTATTCCCTTATTAATACAGAAACCCTGGGGTCACAACTACCTGGCAAATGCTTCAGAACAGAAGACGTCAAAGTTCCTATGTCATAAACACAACTCCTTATTCATCTTCTTAAATCAGATCTAAAGTTTGCATCCAACTCAAAAGCAATTCCATTATAATTAGTATGAAGCCAGGCTTTCTGACTGCCAAGCCTAGAGCACACTTTCTTTTCAGTACTGTAACTCCCATCCACAATCTACATTGGTGTTTGTTTTCAAATCTAGATTGAATTGCTTGTTTTCATATCTCTCCCACAACAAACAACTATCAAATTCTTAAAAAGAAAGAAGTGCTGTGACAGACCTATCAGCACACGAACACAATGCTAAAAGGCAGCCAGAGATGTGAAAGGCAATAAAACTCACTGGGGTCTCTAAAGATAGAGACAAACAAAAGCAACAAACTAAGGTGATGTCAGAAACTGCCTACAGATTAATCTTGCAAAAAGGACCAACTTTACAGTAAAATCAGAAAATGAAAACCATATTCTCCCTGAAGAATTATTAGTAAATACTTCCAAGTAAATTGAACAATAAACCCCTCCTGTATTTTGGTTTGTATTAGAAGCAACAAATGCCGGAAAGAGAACGAACAGGAACAAGTTCAAGGGATGGCAGAAGTTAACAGTAACTAGATTCAGTGGGACCTGCAGTGGGTTGTGATTAACAGCCTAGACAGGAGTTGTACACTAGAACACCTTTCTTGAACTCTGCAGAGCTGACTGCCTTGACATGAAAGGCCTTTTCAGTGCAGCTAGCAATCGGCAGAAGACTTGTATTGCTTTAGAGGGTTCTTAAAAACCACTCTCAGCTTGGAGATTTTAAACAGCCTTCAATCCTAACAAGTCTACTAATTATCCTAAGAAATGCACTGGGGAAGCTAAACCTCCTCCCACTTTGAGACGTTACCTCCTAATCCAGTTGAGCCTAAGGTGACTGCATGACAAGGGCCACTGTCCAAGAAACAGCCACTTACATTTGAAGACATAAGGGCTACCACTAGTGCTTCAAGGCACATGTTTCTACCACAATTGCTAAAAGAACAGGTAGAAAAAGCAGGATGTAGCAAGAACTTGATTATTTTTTTTGATTCCAGTGGTCACTGGAGTACATGACAGAATGAGAAATGAGGACTAAGTATAAGGGCGGTGGTAAGACTCCAGACCTTGCAAGGGAAACAGAGTAAATATAGGCCTCTGGCATGAAGTAATGAAGGCATCCATCATTTTCACATAGCTAAGGAAAACCCAGCCCGTTAACAGACCGTGCTGAGAAAACAGCATTAACAGTACCACTGAGCTTTTCCTTCCAACCCATGGAGCAGTACAAAATCCAGACACATGGAACAGCATCAGAATGACATTCAAGATGATCACATCTGTGGTTAGCACTGTCCAAAGTTCCAACACAAACTACTGCCATCTTCTAGTCACTGCAGGATGTCTGTATCTTGGGCTCACTCAAGGATGTGCTGTAGCTGACAGCCACCACTTGGAGGCACAGAATGACAGGAGGTTCTGGACTTCTCACTGAAAACAGTATTTTAACACTTAAAAATTCCTGAATTCCTTAGGTTGGGGGATAAATCCTAATACCACTTCAAGCTATGTCAAAGTTTGCTTTTTCTGAGGTTGCAACAATAAGAAGAGTGTGATACTATTGCTAAGGGTTGCAGTTAAGGAAGCCAGACTCAAGACAAGTGAATTTCTGAACATGTTCAACACACAATACAACTTGAGAACAGCTCGCAGAACAGCCCACAATGGCCTTCAGTGGGAACTAAATGAGAGACAATAATCATATTGATATTCCACAGAGAGCATACATCCTAGACGTTACGGTCTCAGAAAACAGCACTACAGCCTGTTTCCAAAGATGAAACAAAGCTTTCAATGGTCAGACAAAATGGCATTGTGAACTTTTTTGTGCAGTAGACCTTGCTGTTGGGTAGATATCGACTGATCCTATCCCGAGCTTCATCTGCTGCATGTTCCACCAGTGCCAGGACATGTTCTTCAGCAGTGCTATCTGTCAGGCTGCATGCATTTCCCTCAGGTTCAAATATGCAACTGAGAAAGAGAAGAGGAGTAGCTGCAGAAATTAAAGGGCAAAACAAAACAAAGGGCTGAATTTTGGGTTTGCTAAATAGAACAATCAGTCCCACTCCTCTCCTAGTGTCACTCTACTTCAGCATTTAGGTAGAACTGTAATCATATTATGAAACTGAAGTTTTGCAGGATAAGCTGAGAACTACCCATCTACTGAACTTCAACAATGTAATTGTTTCTGTATCTTCATGAAAATAAAGGAATTATTACAAAATAGAGATTGGGAGTAAAACTGCATTAATACAAGATAAATGCTGCATGCGTGCTTAGTCTCCCACATGCATGAATATGCTGTTCTCACAAACTCCAAATAGAAGGATGCAGGAAAGTAATTACATGATGAGGAAATGGAGAGTCTGTAACTAATCTGAGGAAAAAAAAAAATCTATTGGCTGCATTGGTGGGGATTATGTCAGTTAGTTGCTTGCAGTAGTAGGACACTGCTCCAAGTCTAATAGGGAGTCCCTTAATCCTATATTTGTTAATACTGGCAATTAGTATTCATAATCAGTACCAATCGCACCACTACTTCTCATTGAAATTACCCAATTTAATATTTATCTTTCAATAGATCCTTTTACATTAAAACATCATAACAATAAAAAATAAGAAATAAGCATACCTAAGATGGAACAGGGCATATCTTAGCTATTATATAAAATCAGAGAAAGGTGGTATTATAAGGGGAAGTGTGAAGATATCAGTAGGATATGGCAGTCTTCATCATATTATAAATTTAAAATAAACTTTGTACAACAAAATCTTTCAGGGCATTATATGGACATTAGACACTAGGGCCAAACACCTTAGGTACTGGGTAGAGCATCTCCTCACACCAAATCCATTTCTGTCTCCTGGGGTATCTTCTTCCATTTGATTAGCTAAGAATTTCTCTCTGTATAGAGATTCAGATCCGATACACAAGAAAGTTTTGCTATTAAAGACAATAAAAAGATCACAGGATCATACTATTATGAGACAAATGTGTTAGACAATTTTTGTTGCATTGGAAGTTTAAGAAAGGACGCACACAGCCGGAAACCCCTCAACAAACTGGCACTTTCTATCACACTGCACAAATAACTCAACTGACAAGAATTCTGAGAGAATGTTCAGGTTTTAACATTCTGGACAAAATTTTAAAAAACTGCTTAGGCATTAGGATGTCCAAGCGATCACATTTTAAACTATGATATAGAGGCCTAAACTGTTTTAACACTTTGCAAACATCAACTTCAGTTCTTTCTCCGTTTTTAACTGGAATACGAAGGCAAAAATATCTGCTATTAAGTTTGATTCTCCCCCCAAAAGCTCTTACTGTACATCAAAAAGAATAACATCTATCCTACTGATGCCAAAATACAAATGCTTAAAAGGTCAAGCTGATTAGAAAAAAACAAATTAATTCCAACTACTAAATTTACACAAACATCAAAACGAACAGGAAAGTAAATGTACACCACAACTGATTGCAAGGAAACTGGTATCACAACAAGATTAAAGGTCAGTTATTTTTAACTACCTGAATTGTATACAAGGTGTATATTAAAGACAAAGCAGCACTATATTGTCTGTCAGCCTCAATTCCTTGCTCTGTTAGCTATCTGTGCTTGAAGATAAGCACACAGAAAGTGGCAAAGTACAGTTACTTCTGTAATGGAATTTATGTACAAATTAATCGGAAGAAAAAAATCTGTTATCTTGGGCACCACACAAACCAGATCATCATATCTTTAAAAAAAATAAAGAAACCCAACAAAAAAAACCCATTAAACTACCTTCCCCTCAAGTCTTGTTGACAGAAAGGTACTTTCAGCTAATTCCTACATACCATCCCTTCAAGCAAAGAACAAATTACACTTTGATAGTTCTCCATGGTACAGCAAGAGAGATGTTTCTGTACGCTAACAGAGTAGGTGCAGCCAAAAAGTTACTCAGTTTAAAATTATTTTTGAAGATAATGACACAGTCTCCTATTTTCACAAACTGACTACATTGAAATACTATTTCTTCCATCATACATTAAGCAGGATTCCGAAAAGCTTTGAAGTGTAACAAAAACGTGGCTGATTTGAACTCTAAAGTTCACTTTAACAAAAATGAGAGAGCATGAACTTGAAATAACAAGTCACGTTTCAGTTTTTTTACTTTGGATGTTTAAGCAGCCTGCAGAACATTTCTACATGATCAGATTATTTAAAACATGACTAGTAATGCTATGTTACAGTTTTGTTTTCATAAAATTCCAGTTAATATAATGCTCTACAGTTTATGTTCAATATCTAACTTCAAATGTCTGTGTAAGAACACTGAGCAACATAATTTGCTTGTAAATCACTTTCTGCTAAAATCTTGTCATAAAATAGAAAATAAACCCCTTCAATTTGGCTAAAATTAGACTTCAGCTACAAAAGCGTAATTTTGTGACACAGAGTGCCTATTAGCTGGAAGATATCTATTGCACTAACAATGTATTCCACAAGAAAGCTTAAGACTTCATTCAGAAGATGTATCATCTGCTCCAGAAGTAATCTCCTGTATCTCCATATCCTGACAGATATGACTAAAGTTAAATAAAATCACATAGTGATCTGGGGCCACTTTGCCCTCCCAAGACGATCCTGTTTAGATTTTGATCAATCAAAATGATCAGTCATTTTGACTGGTCAACCACTGGGGCAGGGGAAGTGGTGGTGCAGGGTGGGGAAGACAAAATGCAAAAAATAGTACGTGTGGCTGTGTTAAAAACCATCATGAGAAGAAACTATTCATTACTTAATACAGAGATAAATAGGGATAAAAATATCTATACATTATTACATTAAGTTAATGTATTACACAGTATACATTAACTGTGTTTAAAAGAATATGCCGTCATTCTTTGAACGGTTTGTTTCAGTTGGGAATCACCTACTAGTTCTATAAATAAACAAATAATTGATATTGCCAATTTATTTTATGGACTACAAGGAGAAAGGCTGCAAGGATGTTCTTTTTCCTCAATTCTTTGCTGCTGTCTACTATTACAAAAGCTGCAACAAACCAGTAAGCATGCCCATTAAAACCTTTACCTAATTACTTCCTTATTTTGCTTTTTGGATTTCTTGGTAGTCTCTGCTTGTACAGGAACAACTTCAGGGACAGGTTCCTCAACTGCTGTGTCTTCATCACCCAAAAGAGCTGCCTGCTGAGAAAAATCCATGTCCTGCATAAACGACATGCTGCGCTTCAAAGCTAACAGCCGTTCCTAGAATCAGAAAGGACAGAGTGGCAGGGACTTAACCTTTCCCTCATAGCCAAGATGCTATGATAATGGGATGGGATGGGAATGGCCATGGCCTTATTTTGTTCTTAATGCCTCGTTTCCAATGGCGATGCAACATGATTTGGTCATGGTAGCATGGCATCAGAATTTCTGCAGCCCAACTATCAAGAGAGAAACAAACAAACAAACAAACAGCATATGCAAAGACAGCTGCCTGTTTTTACACAAAACTTACCATAACTGCAACACATGCATGCACACGCAAACACAGAGGAGCTCACCAAGCTATCTTCGTTTTACAAGCCAACAACTCTATTTTGGCAAAAACTGTGTTTGCACGTCGTATCTGTGAAATCCCCAAAACCTCCCCCACATCCACCACCTTCAAAAGAGAACATCTTTCTTCTTTATGCAGAAATAAAGCTTAAACGAGATTTTGTTTACAAAGTTTCAGCCAGCAGCAATGCTTTACATGTGTGGATTTTAATTGTTTCCACTGAGGTCAGTGGAAGAAGTTTCTACAGACTTCAGTGGTGCAGGTGAGGTTGAGAAATAGGGTGTGGTTACAAGAAGACTACTATCAAACCCTTAAATGTAGCAGCACTGACAAGCACTGCCATAATTAATCGCAGATTGATGAAATAACATTTATAATTTTTATTAATTTTGTTCCTTTTAGATACGACAAAAAAAGAAACGCACAGAGTTCTACTATTTGTTTTTAATAGGTCTCTTACTTTGCTCATCATCTTAAAGCCTGTGTGCAGAATCTTCTTGGCTAGCTTGTAGTAAACAGTATCTGGTCTGTTGTAAGTCATTGCGTTATCACACATCAGTTTAAAATCTGCCTGAAAAACACAAAACAAAAGAGTTGTTAAAATTTCAAACTCCTTTGTTAAATGCCTGGAAGATACCATTCCATCATGGCAGCTCTGTGAAAAACAAGCTAATATTTTAGCAGCAGGCTCATGGAATAAATGAAAGCCAAAACGTAACACAGAATTGCAGAGGTTTGAGCCCTTTATGTTTCTCCAAGATGCTCAACTGTGTTTGGAATTGGCTTTTCGGTTATTTAAAAATCCCTTTTTCTTGAATGCCAAATGTAACGTTTCCTCCTCATGCAAACAGACCAAACAGAAGAAATGGAGAAACTGATGGAGTGATGAGGCACTAAGGTAAATACTTTTTGGTGGGTTTTTCCACCTTCTAAATCAGAACAGACTGTCTCCTTTATCTGTCATACGTGATTTTGAGTAATTTTTACTGACAAAAGTGCCCAAAACAAAGGCAGAACACACTCCACTGTAAAAGAACCAAAAAAAAAAAAAAAAAAAAGTTGAAGATTGTGAAAACTCTTTCTAGGGTGCCTTTTTTCTAGCTGCATGCTACTATCTGTAGCCCAAAGCATAAAAAGCATTATTAAAAGCTCTATGAGACACTGAATTTTTAAGGTATGATTATATGCCTCTGAAAATTTCTCAGGCTGGCAAAGCAATAACCAAGAATCATGCAGTAGTCTTTCCAGGCATTTCACAAACTGGATCCTAACAAAATAAACTGGCACCTGATTTAAGAATATATTTTCCTCTAATAAAACTTTTCAATATTTAAACAATGACTGTTCCAGCAATTAGGCTTCATTTATTCTCTGGGAAGTCAGAGCAGTGCTCTCCTAATCATTTAGTAGTAATCATCAAGTCCACGCTAAGCAAGTAGGTGAAACAAGTTACAGTTGGTCATCTGTGGCTTCCTATGGCATTTAAGCATCTGCCTTTGCTTTACAAGACCATCACAAAAACAAAAATCTAGAAGATAACGTGGAGAAGCAAGTATGGGCCAAGAAGCAGATAAAGAAGCCCATATGAGCTATACATCTAGTGATTGTCTTTGAAGTGCTGCAGAAAAGGACAGAGAAGCCTTTGCTTCCACAACTTTGAAGCAGACCATTTTTTCAGCAGCAAAATTATGAGTTTTATGTAGCAATTTCCCCTATTATAAAGGCAGCAGATGGTTCCTGTGGATTCCACTCTTAGATTTATTGGCTTGTGACTAGCTAGTTGCAATATATATATATCTCTCACAAATGAAAGATCATCCTTTGAGCACACTTTGTTTTAAGCTCAAAAGCCTATGAACTTCATTCCTGTATCACTCAATTACAAAGGCATAAGCATAAATAGGTACACTCATCTATCTGAAAAGGGAGGCCAACCTCTTTGTCACTGTATGATGGACAGACTTCTAGCTAGCAACCACATCTTGCTCCTCAAAGTATCAGTAGAAACCAAGTCCCTCAGAAAAAAAAAATCTGTAAGTCTAAGCAATACTTTGATTTTCAGGTTTTTTAGGTTGCTATTTCACCAGCTTCATCACTGCAACCTTGCCTGTAGCTACATAAGGCCACGGAGCTCCCATTCCAACTTCCTTTTTAAGTTTCTGAATAAGACAACCCAGCAAGCCAACTGACTTTAGAGACCTGAAAACACTGCTGACAACAATGCTGTTACCAAACCTCCTTTACTATTTCCTACAAATTTCTATATACTTTTAAAAGAAAAATAAAGCATACATAACAAAACAGAATAATCTTTGTCAAAGCATCCATAGGAAACAAGCTATTCCCTGCTCACCTTGCTGGACCTTTCAAAAGGAAAAAACAAACCCTGAGGTGCAAGCCGATACTCTGCCAAGTCTGTTGTTATTCCAACACCACTCCATACAGTAATACTGAAGGCGGCTAATAGGCCTTCATGGAGCAGAGAAAATTCCTTTTCTTCCAGGAGCTGGCAATACCATGAAATATTTACTGCACTAAAACCACAATGCATCCTATAAAGTATTACAGCTATACACAAAGTAGCTAAAGCAAGTTGCCAATAAACTTGCCAATTAAGTTTCTCCTGAAAGACCATTCCAAATTAAGTTATATGGAAAACACAAAAACCAAAATAAAAAATACATAGTTGTTATTAAGTGTATACAAAATGCTTCAATATATCCACAATTTTCTTGCAGGCATGTCAAAACTGCCTTTTAATCAATCTAAGCACGTCTAGAACTAAAATTCTTGTGATAGTCTTACTTATGACTAGCAGATTTCCACAGAACTTTATAGCATGTCCTTGGCTTCCACAGTAATCTGTAGCAGAATCTGACAAAATAGAGCTTCCACAGTGAAAAACAAAGCAAGAAACCCATTCTAACACACAGAATATACAAAAAGTGCTCAGTTCTGAAAAAAAAAAAAAAGCACATTAAAATAATAAATGTAAGAAAGGCTTACTACAGTTAAAAAGAATTTTTTTCTTACTAAACATTTCTTAAATAAATAAATTTCTATCAATTTACCTTGAATTCAGTGACTGATTTGTATTCATTTGCTGCAATTTTTTCCTTCATTGTACCAAAATCCATAGGGTGCTTTATTATCATGGAATATCCGGGAGCAATGGCATCCGTGACTGGAAAAGCAAAAAACCCATGAGGATCTTTCCTAAAAATAAAAACAATATATTTAGATTTATAATCAGCCAATGAAATGATTGCTGTTTTCATACTACATTAATGGTATAAAAAGAACAGTACTACTTAAAAAGAAAAACACTAAAAGCACTCTCATAAAACTGAAGTGTATTTGAAAAATTTCCTCATACAGGAAAAATTTTGGATTACACATATACAGGCTTTTTGAAAGTTTCAGCTAGTTCTTGAATTAATTATTTCTTGTACGCTTTCTGTGTCTCCATTTACACTGCAAATGGGTCTTTAACAAGTAATGTCCCCTCAGCTATAAACTCTTAGATTTTTCTTGTTCATGAGGTCCTCTGAAAATAACTACAGTCTTTAATATTTCCAAATTAGTTCCAAATTCAGCTTATTCCTATGTAATAAAAAAAGGAGAAAGGAATATTTTGTTCGCTTTGTTAAGGACAAGAGGTACAGGGTTAACATCTTACGGAAAACGATAGAATAAAAACCCTCTAAATTATGAAGATTATCAAGTCTCACTTTGGTATCTGACGAGACACAGAATAAAGCAAAATTTCATGAGAATAGGTCAAAGTTTTAAACTACTAGAATTCACAATTGTTTGTTAATTCCTAAATTAAGTCATTAATACTTGTTAAATTTATAATGGCTACGTACCCTCTGCCCAAAATACTCTTCTACCAAAAGCTAGAACTGCATAGCTGGTAATAATTTTCCTCAATTGATCTTTAAAAATTACCAGGCCTGACCTAATTGAAAAGGTCACCAGACTTACTAGAACCAGTCTTCAGGCATTACTTTACAACTTCTGATCCTGGTTTTCTGTCTGAAAGTAACACATAGGTACGTGCACTAGACACTACTGACACCCTGTAGATGTAATACACTGAATACCTTTGAAGCTGTCGAAGGAAGTGTTCCAGTAATTGCTGGATTGGTGTACTCTCATTTTCAGCTGCAGAAACACAGGTAAGGGCAATGAAACAGAACACAGGCTTATTTATAATATGAAAAATCAATAATAAAATAAAGCCTTAACTACAAGTATAGCTTGCATCGATCTGAAGGTCGCCAAGATGTGCATTGTAAAACAGAAGCACATCAGATTTCTAAGCACATGGTAACTACTTCTTATCCTTTACTACTTACTGAGTTTTAATCACAATAAAAACTAGTAGAAAATGTATTCAAGTGAAAGTAAGTTGTTACATAATTTGACAGAAAAAAGAAAGTTAAACTAGGTTGCTCAAATACTGCAGTTGGGAAATCCACATTCTCACATGTTGTCCACACAATTTTTATCATTTCTTTACTATAAAACCCATACAATTAGCTTCTCTCAAGCTTTTCAGTGAAAAAGAAAAGGGACAAACAGATGCACATTTGCTGGCAAGAGAAGTACTAATTACAATTTCACTTCCTGTACAGATTAAGCAATGCTAATGGCCTGTTCCAACCACACACTTCAGAGACTGGTTTTAATGTGAAGTTTGAAAAACTAAAGATGCAGCATCTAATGGAAGAAAAAAAAGAAGAAAAAACTAAAACTAAAGAAAACGTAAAGAAGCTGGAATCTAGAATTAAAACTCCCAACTCTTTATCATAATTGAGAGACATTTCCCTTCTTAACCAGAACAGGCAAGATAATTTATATTTTTTTCAAATGACATTTCCCAAGCAGATGAAAATAGAAGCCTTGCCAATACAGATATCAGTTTTTAGCTTGTCAAGTTTTTCAAGGCTCCAGACCATCCAGAGACATAAAGCTTTGACCAGAAAATTTCAGGTACCCTTGTTAGGACACCTGGACACTATTCCCCAATTTAGTGTGTAGTCATAATTAGAAAATTCCTCAATAAATTACTTGGCCATTCAATGGGCAGTGTTTCAAAGACAAGACTCAAAATAATCCTAAGGATGCAACTTTTTGCTACTAAGTTCCATTTCCAGGTATATGTGTACTGAGATTATGATGTATTTGAGAATTCTTGTAAGTAAATGTTTCCAGGGGACAATGTTGAGTTTTAAACATGCAGAAGTTACCACACACTAAGTATTTTGGCTGATGATGAAAATTAAAGCAGATTGGTGAATGCAAGCTGGAGGGACTGTGGTCTTGAGAGAGACACTATCAAAACTTACTGCCATACCTTTGGGGAAAATAAAATTAAAACTCCACAAAGGTTATAAAAAAAGATCATAACAAAAGCTACACACAGTCTCCACAAGATTTTGTTTCCCCTTGAACTGAGCAAAACTTACTTTCAGACATTCTGAACACTGTTCTGTAAATGCTGAGGACATGCCAAGGAGAATTAATTAGTGAAACACTACATATAATAAAACTTTTATACTAGTTCTATTCTGTCAAGGAACAGAAGCCAGAGACAGATGTCCTTGGCAAGTTCAGTCACATGAAAACAAACCTACTAACCCTAGAGGAAATACTGATTTTTCAAATAGCAGAAAGCTCTGAATGTTGGGGAGAAAAGTCCCTAGATTTCAGCAAATCTGCACTGAAATTTTACGTTTTGGTCCCCCTGACAATAGCTTTGTTGTGTATGCGTTTGAAAAACGCCCAAGATGATTTAATTTTTCATACTGCTCACCTGGCTGAGTTCTGCATGCTCTGACAGGCCGATCTGGAGGAGGTTCGACCTCCACTTTTTTCCCGGGATCAAAGTCATCAGTTTCTCCTTCAGTGTCACACTGTTCTTTCTCCCTCTTCCTCTTCTTCTCTTCCTAGCACAGCAGGAAGAAGACAGATTTTAGAAGAATGTGCTTGGAATGTGCAATCCCACATATCAAAAGGTAAGAGACAGTGATTTTTCATTTGGAATACTCTATCTAAATCTGAGGCATAATGTGGTTTTAACAATAGTGCATATATTTTCACTGTCACTTTTTCAAATTTCTTCTCCAGTTAAAACTAACACTATTCACCTTTTGCTTATTTATATTTAATATACTATTGTTTTATCATTAGATAATATGCTTTTACCAAAATTAATGTTCAACTCTGAAGCTATTCATATATAATACTGCATGGTAATAAGACAGACCAGAGAGCAAAAGAAATTAATTTACTATTCACAGTAAAGATCAGTCTGTAGCTCTGCTTTCATCAATGTGGCTTTTTTTTGGTGTATTAAACAGGAATCAATAAAGCATCCAATAATTTAGGAAGCCTACAAAAGAATCATAGAAATACTCTGTAACAGTGATGGCAATTAATATTTTCCTGAGCTTCAAAGCAAAGGCATGCCTGAATCATTCCTATGTCTGTAAAGTCATTCACGTTAGCACATAAAAGCATACTTTCATTAACCTTGTTTAAACTACAATTTTGTTACTTATCTATTAGCTTCTTCTGCATGCACTAATGATGAAGTTCTGCAAAAAAAACCCTGTCCCAACAAAAAAACACCCCACAGTTTAGCAAAGGCAAAATAGTTTGATTTGATGCTGCAAGGTCTTGTACTAAAGACAATTGTTTTGCTACAAGTCCCAGCCATTCTCTTAACAGAAACATTTGAAAACGTTTGCACGAAAAAAAGTTCAATTTAACTTGAATTCAAGGCTTCGGAATGATCCTACAAGGCATATCACTTTCATGTAATTCAACCATAACAAATAAGTTCAAAATGACAGACATTAGCCACACACACAGAGCAGTAGTGGCCAAAAACTGTCATATGAGAATAGTAAAACTACATGACAGAAGAGAATTAAAAAAGCAGAGATCAGAGAATCATCAGTATACGAAAGAAATATTATTAAAATTAAACTGTACAGGTATTTGTACCATCAATGCCACAAAGCCTAGCATGCAGGTTATTCTAAACAAGAGCCAATAAGACTGTTCTACCACAGTACTCAATAGATCAGACTTCAGAAAAGTTGAGTAAAGGGATCAATCCCAGTGTGCAGTAAGATGGTATATCTCATGAACAGAAATGAGATCTAGCTTTGAAAAGCTGAAAACACCCAACTCAACAGCAAAACTTGTTTCCGACCTGACAAATACAAAACATCCAACTTAAAAACAGAAGTATTTGTGCCTACGGGCAAATCAAATGGATAAGAAAAATAAGCAGTTACAAGAAACAAGTTTTACTTTGTTAAAAAAATCATCAGAGGGATACCTCTTTTAAATAGAAGTAATAAACCAACAGAAAGATGCGGGTTTTCTACATTTGTGAACTTCTGTCTCCAAAAAAATAATCTCCTTGCAACAGCGACTTGGAAAAAGAATAACAACAAAGAAAAGTTCTAGTGCTCTGTGCCAGACTTTAGGTACAACAAGCAAGCATGAAGAAGACTGGTATGTCTGAATTACAGAAAAGAAATGTCACAGCTTACCTTTCTCTTTCTTCTTTCCTCATCATCTAGATGCTTGTCTTTTTCCTTCTCAGACTTCTTTTTCTTTTTTTTCTTCTTTTCTTTATGTCGTTCTCGCTCATGATCTGATCTATCATCGTAGTAACTAGAATCATGCCCCGACCCAGAAAGTTCAGTCACTTCACTTCCTCCAACTTTAAGCACAAGCTTTAAAGGCTTTTCCAAAGGCTTATCCACATAATCTGAATTTTAAAAGTAAAACATTTCATAAATGCACAAGAAGGTGACAGCCTACAGCAATTACTGGTTCTTCATGCAGAAATATTATTTACAAGAATTTAATGCAGTTTGAAAATATACACAGTACACTAGGAGAGAAAAATACCTAGGGCTAACAAATCCAAGTTGAGAAACAGTTGTTCAGCACATTTTACATCGCGATTTTCCAGAAAGCTGTAGTACACAGAGAAGTAACTCCCCGGCTTTCCCTGGAAGCATCACGAGATCCTTACCAGAGTCAGTTGAAGTACCGTTAAACCAGTGCCGTAACTGCAATCCATCAGCAACAGCCGTGGGATGCCCAAAGACGCCCGGCCCCGCACCAGCAGCGCTCGCCCCGCATCCCCGCGCCCCTCCTGAGGTCTCTCGGGGGCC